ACCCTATAGGAATCCAATAGGTTTTTCTTGTTTCAAAAACCTATAGGAAAGTCTATAGGTTTCCTATAAGAAATAACCTTAGGTTTCCTATAGGACATTTCCGTAAGGGATACCTTCCCGCAGCAAAATTCAATTTCTTCGTATTTCTCTCCCAGAGTACCAACATGAACGAAATTTGGTGTGCTTGTTCCTCCCACTAAACGCAATCTCTTCAGCAAATTTGAAGCTCCATCTTCCCGGGGTTGTGGAGATCATTACCTTTGGCAAGAAATAGCTGTTAGATTGCTGACTCCGAAGATTTTCATCTTTCGAGGCATATACTCAGGGGGACAATTTGGGGCGACTGATTTTACCTTGGTTTAACCGAGGAACGAAGGGTTACGCCCATTCCCCCACAACCCAGTCCAACCTTCAAGACGAGGGAGAAGAGCGCTAAACTCCCGCGTTCCTCGATATCTTCGCGTTGTTCGTGAACGTTTTCAAGGGAGAGAAGGTGATGCATGTCGTAACAAAGGACAACGTCATTCTGCAATTCTGAATCAATTTTGAAATGATGGAAACCACACGACGAAACTTGCGATAATGGGTTTTCCTATCGGAGCTCTTATGAACGCAAGTGGTGACGAACTCATGAATATGAGTTGGTAACATGAGCCCCGTGTTTCATCATGTACGTTTTAAATTTCTCAATTCACAGTAGGATGCGGTCAGGGGTGCCACGTCCTTTGACGAGTCCCGCGCCAACTCTCGTCTCCTCTTGCATCCTGAAGATGGCGAGACATAACTTCTATTTTCTGTTGATGTGTGACCCATTTTTGTGGCGTATCTTTAAATTTCTGTCAGGATGGCACAACCTTGGACGATAAAAAATATGTATATTAAAAAGTCCTAGTTCACATCTAGACGCGTTTTGCCTGTGGAACTCTCTCTCACACTCACACACACGCTAACAAACGTTTGTCGTTCTGCCTAGGTAGCGGTCAGGATCGCCCAAGCTATATGTTTAACCCCCGGAGCTTGGTTCTTCGTTTTGAATTACAAACATATAATCGCAAGACATCCAACATTCACTTTCAATCTAATTACTTTCTCACTAGTTCAAAATCAGGTTTACTGAATACAGTAAATATTCATTTAAAAAATGATCCTCGTCAAAGGCTTTTGAGGGAGAGTTTAATCTTTTAAACCTCAAGATGCATGCCGAAATAGTCGTCCTTTTATAATGAATTATAAAAGGACGACTATTTCTTCTCCTTTCCATGGTTTTTAATGTGAAAGGGCAAGACATAGAGGCAACATTATTTGGTGGGTATCATGCATAAACAGTGCAGGAAGTACGCGAAGAGGGGCGCGTACACGGAGGGAACATTACTTCCTAGAATATCACTGAAAACAGCATAATATCCATATTGCAAATAAAATCATTAGGAATACTAATCGTCCGTACATTTAAGGCAAGCTTTTGAATGGATACATGCACGGACTGCCGTGCAAACCTTCCTCCTGAGGTTTCACGTCATACGAAGTGCAGATAATTCCTACCTTTGTGATAGCTTTTGATGGAGTCATGTCTGGCATCCATGGTAATGGAAATAGGCCCGATAATAGCAACAGCTTTCTGCAGTGTATCTTCGTCCCCTTTCGGCAACCCTACATATCCCGTGACATTTGCCCCTTTCGTTGAGGGATGGTAGCGACATACATTATCCTGTAACGAACATCAACAACAGTCATACAACACATGATGCATTTCGAGACAGTTCGCAAGTGAGTTTCGGTCGCAGAATCTCCGTACTGCTAAAAAAAACTGATTCCTCCATTCGGAATTCGGTGACTAAAGAACCGACAGCTAAGGTGTGAGGCAATTTAGATAAGAAATAAACGCTTCTGACAATTTCATGATGTGATTCTCTCGTTTATGTGGGTAATATGAGTAATATATGTTACTCATAGCCACACTGTTAATGTTACACATAGGATATAATGTGAGAATTATATCATGGTATTCTTGAAAGAAAAGAGGAGTCTGGGGTAAATAATACCCTGTATAAGAAAAAAGGTAAATTATAGGTAAAAATTAAATGTAAAAAGCAGGTAAGAATACTGACTAAGGGGAACGGTAAAATTGAGGCAAACGCAGTGAATGGGAGGGTAGCCGTTAAATTGGGACGTAACAGGATACAGGACGGAACAGGCAGAAAATAAAAAAATTACCTTATCATTACCGTATTTTTACCATCCTAATTTCACTACAATTGAAAAGTTGTAATGCCTTCAATTCCATAAGACATCTAAGTCAAGTCACACATTTTATTACATTGATACGTTTTTCATTAATGACCCATTACATAACTACCTTCTTACATTCCTGTGGCAAAAATAATACAATATTCAACCCCAACCAGAATGGAAACATTAATGCAAAGGAGCCCAGTAATTGTTGTGAAACTTAGTGCAGAAGTACGTCCCATTATACAGTATTCAATTGATTAAAGTTTTAAAAGTGGTCCGAAATTATTCTTCAGTTGATGGCTTATCTAAAGCCCCCATGAGTGAAGCACTTTAAGCTGGTCAGGTATGCAGCATAAATATAACGTAATCCACGAATTGAATCCAACAGAACCAATAACATGTTTATAATGAAAGAACAAAACCGTAAAAATGATGGAAATTGTTTCCTAGAAAATAGCTTGAGACTCACCTTCGCTTCATAGGGGTAACTTTCCTCTGTGTCAATCCCATTGTTTTCTATGATGTATTGAAATGCCCATTCCGCCCTTCCACCACTGCAGCCACGGTTAAAATTCTTAGAGCAGTCAATGAGGTTCTTTTCACTAAGGGAAACCAGGTTTCCTGTCTTCCGGAAATGCAACCCCTCCACTGACCCGGTCTGCAGAAAACCATCACGAAGCATGACACCATAACACCATGTCCGAATATATAATGGGTCACTGCATCCATACTGCTAAAACAAGATTAATTCTTGAAAAATAAATTTAAATACTATTCCTGGCGTTCCTTTGCATTATGATAATTCATTTTATTGATAGGTCAAGAACTGCAATCTATCAACATATCATATAAATCAATAAGACGTTAAGGGATATACGAAACAAATAAAAGTGTGTGCGCCCATGAACTAGTGTTGACTTTTCTGGATGATGATGTTACACCCTTGATATCCCCTGACAATCGTTTGGTAACCATCCTTACCTGGGTTCGGATAATTATATCCCAATACAATGAGGATAAGTTAATGGCTTCGGAATAAATTGCTTCACAATTTTTCCTTTGCTACTCCATCTTCATAGGTTGTCTGCGTTCATAAAATGTAGGCGATTGCATGCTGTACATTAATCACTTAACCCTTATCCTGGCAACGGGAGTCCATAAAACTCACCACATTATACCAGATTGAAATATTCTCTGGCAATTATTTGCATACAAATTCTACAAATTTTATTTCGCTTTAGGAATCTAAGGAGCCAAAAACTATTTGTAAAGTTGTGTAGCACATTTCATAAAAAATTGGTACTATCTTTGTTCTTGTCTAATTTCGTGCCGGATGAGGGCTTAACGCTCAGAAGTTTTTGTTCTTTCGCTCCATCAATTTTGCCTCAAATGATTTTACGATTACAACTTCGGGAAAAGGGTGAACAAAAGGGGTGAGCACCCCTTTTTAGGGTTAGGGTGGAGCGTGAGAAGGGCGACCTCAGGTTCTCAGGCATTCCCTAGTTTACTCGACTGCCCTAAAACTCAGCGTTTCTCTAAACGATATAAGCAGCAGCCGCTCTATCCCGTCCACGAGCATGACCTATGGAAAACTTCCACGAGAGAATGACACGAATGTACCTTTTTCGCGTACTCACGAGTTCAGTCAGCAGCCCTATCAATGCTCTACGCAGCAGCCGCTCGGACATTGTACGTGTTGCGCATCCCCCCCTCCCCCTTACCCAACGGGGGTGTTGACGCCTACGATAATAACTTTTCTTGAGGAGCACTCTTATTCCGTGTCGACCGCGATCATGTGCGTACTGTCTGTAAAGTTCATCTCTGGCACTTCTTTTTGGCCTATGAGTGAAAAATACTCTTGAGAACCGGGATTGTTACTACGGGGCCGGCGGCGTCCTTCCGATCCAAGGGTAAGCGTTCGTGTTCTATCCCATCCAAATGGAGTGCTGCCGCTCTCATCTTTGGAAGTCATTCCCCTTATGAGTGCTGATCAATACGGAGACAGAGTCCCGATCGATAAAGGAGCCGAGATTTTATCCCAGCTAGAAAATCATCCAGCGGGATGAAAGGGCACTCCAAGTGTTACAAGTGAGGACGATTTACATGTCCGCATCCAGGTATGAAATTCCCCTCCCCCCTCCCCAAGCGGCGCCGAGGCGGGGATGCGCAAGACGTATAAATCCTCTCCTTCCCTTTCTCGAGAATGGATCCGACAGCCACAGTAGCCGGAGGGAAAGTGGGAGCTGGAGATAGCGAGACAGACACCCAGAGCCAGGTTGAAGAAGGCTCGGCGTATGCGGACATAGACGGATATACAGACGCCCAAGTAAAATACATATGTAGACTCTTACTGTATATCTTCCAATAAGTGCATAAGTTCGCCCTTATATTCAATATTTAATGCGCAGAATATGATGTGAAGATCTGCCAGCACAGAAATGAAATATACTGTATAGTTAATGTGTGAAGCATCCAGGGAGGACAAGAAAACTGACAGCACTGAATGCCCAACATGAGCCGCAGTGACCTTGGTCTTTGACCGGAGTGACAGCACCTCTCGTTCGCCAATCCATTTCTGCCGGAGGATTCGTATGGAGGGGCTCAATCCAAGATGAAGGAACAAGTAACCCAGATCTGTCTGACGATTCTGTCTCCCCATGATACCCAGTCATTTTCTCCATAAATTCATGAAGTAGCTGCGAACAGGTGTAAGAGATCTCGCTCCTTAATAATGAAAACGGTTCAGGAAACGATTTGAATGTAACTAATAACACATCACAAGCCAATTGAATTAATAGTAACAGCCTGGGCTCTTTCTGAAAAACCACTTTCACAGAGAGAGGAATCTCACAATTTCTCAACTGGACACGCATGGTTTCTTTAGAAAACCCTTTAAAAATCCAAACGTTGTACTGCTAAAAATGCCACATTCATTTTTTTTAAAAAGAGCTTAGACAACGCCGTCATATTGTTCATCATGTTTAAATGTAGTTTTGTCAATATCCGGTAACGGAAGACTGCTCAAGGCCAGTAGAGCTTGAGTAGATTTCCGTTACTGCTTAATACATATGCCTCCCAAACTTGAACGATATATTTATGTTTAACTCGTCACCTCTACGCCATGTTTAAATTAATACCGGAATAGTACCGGAATAAAATGTTAGTAGATTTGCCGATTCATCATGTTGGATTCATTCCCATCGGTGAGGACGTTTCGAAAATGTAAATTTCGAGCATGTAGTATCCTATTACCTTACCTATTTTTAACTGAAGGAATAAGAATAATCCTTGCAAATTACATTTACACATCCTTTTCTCAGTACGAACTCCTACTCTCGTAAATTTTAGGTCTGTAATAGGCACGACATCCCGCGTGCATCCAACGTTGCCCGTGCAATTTGTTTTATCTAAATTGTTTACATTTTCAGAACATGTCACATCCGACACCGTCACAAAATAGGCTCTCTTTCTGTTTCAAGTGTGATAATCTTGGAGTGACTGACCCTAATTTCAGCCTTTCATTCTTTCTCTAAAATGAACATGAAACTAAATTATTAGGGTCCGCCCTATGACAATATTTGAACATTAGAGCAGGTGACTTTAACTTGAATGTGCACAATGTCAAGTCTGACACTTTTCTTTGCACATAGGAGCACCTTTAACAAAAGAGAGAGTGGAAGACTTTGGAATATGGAGTTTTCTGTCACTACTCAAACAAAATTGCTACAGCCTTAATTTGTTGATTTGTCATTCATCAATATAATATAGTTACTTTAATTGTGCAAACTAAATATCTCATGTAGCAGGTAACATTGTATCAACATTGATTCAATGTTCATACAGCATTCGGATGTTGAGTCAACATTGAAGCAGTGAAACACTCTAGTGTTTTTGGAACTGTAGTCATATTACCAAAAATAAAATATATTATTGGTGTTGAACCAATTATGATGGTTAATACAATCATTAGATTTAACCCTACGCTGAATGGTGCGTTAAGTAAAACATACGCTGTGTTTTGCATTGAAACGCATTAAAATGCTACGGATAAGTCGTAATGAAATATTGTTTTATTAATATTATTCTTCTTCTCATCAACAATATTAAAAGATCGTCCAAAATATTTATGGCACATGCAAACAATCCTGCATTGTTGAGTGAAACTCAGGTAATACTCGGACAGTACGAATAACCTCTGCCGAAATGATATAACCTGGAAGATTGAGAACTTACCAGATCGGAATATTTGTTCAGGGCTACAGAGAAAGTCGTCGCTCCTCGGGCAAACATCTGATTATGTTCTGCGACATAGTGCCTATTCTCCAAATAGACATTCATGCGGAATTGTTCCTCTTCCTCACTCGCATATTTCTTGTCATGCTCAAGCTGGAGATTTGAAATATATGTAACATAAGAAAAATACAGAGAAATCAATTTTGTTTGGGACCAGGGTGAGAATCGCTAAATTGGCGGTTAGGCGCCATCTCGCGTCGATTGGTAGAACTTATTTTCTTTGGAGATAATGATGGATACCTCCATTTTGAAAAAACATTAAGACAATGACGAAGGGGTGGCTGGGGTGGTGACGAAGGGCTTTTTCAACTTAACCTGTTGCCACAATATTGAAATAAAACAGCTCAATGCAGAAAAGTTGATGCTGGGCAAGGGTGTGTCAATGTTGAATTGTCAACGTACGGGCATTATAGTACCTCCCCCTTATCCAGAGTCTGAAAAAGTTAATTCGGCAATGAGATTGTATATAGATTCGATACTCCCACAGAGAGTACCCAACTAGTATGATACAAGCAGTACAATCATCCCACATGGAGGACCCTCAAAAGCTGTATGTGTTTAACTGAATCAGAACTAAAATCGAGTACGTACATGACTCAACTCTCTCTGTTCAATAGAGAGGAAATAATTCCGCGGGCATGTTCTCTTGGTCTATTCTCTATGAAAGAGCTCGAGTGAGTGAACGTGTCATGTGGAGATTTAGGAAAATTGAGTAGTTCTCCTATGACCCATTGGCCAGAAGTACTCTTAGTCTCCTACCGGAAAAACTCCTTAAAGAGGTCTATCTACAAGTTCCCATATCTTCGCTTTATGTTGTAAATGGAATACGATCGGGTACTGTTTATTCAGAGCATCAGTGCAAGAATCACCGAATCGGCGGCTAGGCGCCATCTCGCGTCGATTCGCGGAAACTATTTTCAGTTGATATGACATGGATAACTCCACATAGAAACAAAATTGAGAATACGATGAAAACGAATTTGCACTTAACTCTCTCCCGGTCTAAACGCGTTAAAGCGCCCGTCTTGTTTTGGAGCTTGTTGAATGTTGGTTTACTTATTGATGCCTAGCGTTTATGTGCATATCTGTAGGTTTTTTACCATGTCACATAGAGAGCGGTGGTAAAATGGGATCAGTAGAACATATTTTTTTCTTCTAAGGCTGTCAGTGAGTTGCTAAAATGACTACTCCTGCAGAAGATGAAATTGAAGCTGAGTTAAAAGGATAGTGATTACAGTGTCTTTCACAGTTGTGGTGGAAGTGAAATTTTATGTGTATTCAGTGACGATGATGTCAGTGATAGTGACAGTGATAACGACAAGGGAACCCATAATGACGATGCAGGGAAATGAATTCAACTGCTCTGTGCCAAATTCAGTGCAAAATTGTCACTTTCTACTCTGCAGAATTGACTGCATCCTGCAATATCACCAGGAAGGGGAACTGAAGTAGAAAACTAACAACAGACAGCATAAAAAATACCGTTATCAATATATTTAAATGTATGTTGCAAATAACCACTGAAATTTGAGGAAGATCTGTCAGCTGCTACCTGAGATATTCATCTGTATATGAACAAAGGTATAACTTCCTATCCGGGTGTAAAATAATTGGGAAAATCCTGGGAATCCATGGCTTTCAAGTGGGACTGGGAGATGGTTAAGAGCTTCTGAACGACTTCCCTAATTCACGAGTAGTCACCAATGCTGAAAATTCGGTTAATTACGAATAGCTATCCTTTCATCGATGTTGATTTTTCGTCGCATTCTCTACTTCAACTAAGTCTCAACGTTTCAACCTTTTCTCAATATTGACACAACGTTGTTGTGCCGAATGGGAATGCTAATCCATGTGTAGTTACTTCATGCAGAAACTTCGGCTAATTACGAGATGAGAATTAATTTAGATTCAGGTCTTACGTATTGTCATGGGACCTCCTCTTCCTTTCTCTCATATCTGTTTCCTAAAGAAAAGCCATTAAAAATTTTGGATGAAATGTGTGCTAATTGCGATATCCGAAATGATGATAGGTAATAAGAATGATGAGCACTTTTCACTACAATTGAAAATGAATGTGAACTTCGAAATGAAGTCAAGTGAGTAAAACTGGTGCAGTACGGTAATCACAAAGCAGTCATCTGGACTGTTCAGAGATGGAGTCAGTGCACTCTCAAATCAGATGAACCACAGCAGGGTCAAATTTAAACATTTTTGTTTTAAAGAAACGAATTCCAACTGGGGGTATTAAAGGCTTTCGAATGGTATATCACCCTAGAATTTTGGTCCACAAATGAAATGAAATGTCATATGTCCATAGTCAACTCAGAAAAAAAGAGTAAAATGAGTTTGCACATCTACAAAATATGAAGAAGGAATGAGATATCATTGATGAAAATCGGTTTAGAAACCTGGGAGGAGCACACCGGACAAAATCTGGTCCAACAGACAAATGCAGGTCGTTATGTATATACACACAAAACTCTTTTATCCCAATTACCACACAGTTCGGATGTGCCAAAAGGTGTGTCGAATTTATGGCACGTACGTTTTGTGTCAAAATGTCTCTGTGTGAACTGCATAATTTCGACATTGCTACGCGGATTAGCCGACTGTGGTTAGTTGCCATCAGGTTATAATGTGAGGTCAACTTGCGTTCCAATCGAAATAGATGATGAGCTGCTGCACGCAAAACTTTTGGTGTCGAAGTGACACATACTGCATTCATATGGTCTTTGGGATACACTTCGTTTTCATATTATAATATTAGACGCACCTTTTGGCTCATTTCCAGCGTGTCATAATAGGGACAAACACTTTCGTGTCAAAAATGTTTTGTGTGTAGATTCTTTCATAGTTGGGCTTTTTGCAATTAGCCGGGAGAAACTTTATTCAACGCTTCCCCGCCAGCACAACCATGCGTCTTTTGATGTCTGGAAATGAGTGGCATCATAATGTAAACGGCCAAGAGGTTTCTTTCACGGTGTGGAATGTCACACTTCGCATAAAGCACTGTAAACATTGAAATCACTGATTGCATTTGACTCGAATGCGCCGTTACTGAAAAGGAAAACCCTATGCTTTAGATAAAGAGTTAGCATTCTTCATGAGCCGACACTAAAAGTTAGCCAATCATATTAACTGCATTAGCTGTGTTCTATTCTAACGCGTTCGTGGATATGTGCGAATGCATTTGCCTAATCTGAATTTACTTGCATCGCGTATTCAGTGATTAGCAAAACTCGTCCATTGTTCGTGGTTTTGTATTAATAGGCTAATAACTTCATGAATACCCAATCAATCCGAACCATGTTAGAGGAAGGATAGTCCTGTTTCTGTGATTTCCAATAACCATTAACTTTGGAGCAAGTGGCTACTCATGGAGTAATGGGCTGTAATGTTTGTGTCACTTGACTAGTTTTGCGATTTGTGTTCCGCCCGACAAATCGGCATTTGTAAATCGCGGTTCGCCAATTCCAGCTTCACCAAACATACTAAACATTTTCCCCGAATGAGTTTCGAATCAACCCTTGAACTCACCCGTCAATTCGTTCATGAGTGCCATGTGCGAGGAGTTAACCTTTCTTCTAAGTCATCACATTAACTTGGTGGAACATTATCGGAGAGGAACTGGCGATAATAAAATGTGACCAAACGTAATGTGCAATGCTTTTAAAGTAATGAACAAAAGAAACGAGATAGAAATCATGAAAGAAGGAAACAAAATAGGAACGTACCAGCCACAACAGAGCCACGATCATGCTGGAAGTTCTGTTGTTCGGAAACCAGGACATGGTCAATTTCTTCAAAAATGTCTCGCTCAAGAAACCCTGTAACACAAATAATATAATTCCTTGGTAGTCATGCGCCCATGCTTATAAACGTACCTATGGAACGACGTTCATGGGGCTATTGTAATCCTGCATGTGGAAATCCACATATATAATACGCAGTTTACCGAATCACCTAACCATGAAGGAGAAAACATGTGATAGTGAGAGTGGTCTCATATTGATTGTCATGGTCTAGAACCTTGCACAAAAAATGTGTTAATTGATTAATTTAAAAGTTAATTGATTTATTTTATTGATGCTACCTTTTTAGTGCTTTCTCTTGGATCGGACTAGGCAGTCTCTTCTATGTCAACGATGCCCTTTACATCTGATTGCTAATTGCATTTTTCTTACTGCTAATTAACAATAATCCATGAGGGAAAGACTTCCAACCCGTTGTTTAGTGCCATTGGTAGATCAATTGCAAGCTCTTGATGATTAGATTACGTTGGTGCATATTTTAGTTGCAAAAGATGATAAAATAAGTAATAATTTTAATGTGTAGTCACATTGAACGGAAAGCGAAAGTGCCCGTTTTCGTTGAAATAGAAACCCTTATATGTAGTGATAGGCAGAATAATTTTATGTATTGGGTTCGGTGGTGTAGTGGTAGCGCACCAGACCACGAAACGGGAGGTTTGGGTTCAAGTCACAGTCGTCCCGGTGTTTTTTTGTCCAGTCCCGGCACCCTCCCCTACCATAGGTCCTCATGACACATGCCCCAAAGAAAAACTCAACCCTCAAACTTTTTCACGCACTGATTTTGCGTTTTTGCCATATACCCGAACTAACTAAACTCAGAGAGAACAGGTAGAAGGCACATCAAGCGATCCGCATTCCTTCTATGTTTGACCGAACGAGCGAGAAAGTCAGCCTAATTTGGGGGGTGATGGAGCAGTTGGATTAAAAAATAATCGTGGTCAAAGGCCGCCACCCTTTCCTAACCCAACTGACCCATTGGCTCCAAAACAGACTGACTTTCTCATTCTTTGGCCTTTCACCGAACTGGAGGGAAAAAGTTGAGGTCTATTAACCATGCCAGCGCGATGAAGGGCCTCATCAGGACAACGAAGACTAGACCAGAAGGGCGTAATAAAACCCGACTCGAGTACAATGACCATGCCTGGGAAGGACATAGCATAGTTACCAGACGCAATGGCCCAGGAGGGGCGCCGAACATCCCTGCTCTTGAATGCCCAAGTAAAACATAACCTTTACATAAGCACATTATATGACCCACTCAAACCTCAACTCTCTCGGTTGAAACATATATATCTATAACATATTCATACAGTATTTTCATGTGGTATATATCTTACAACATTCCGCAGGTAGTCTACTCCACCACAGATCACAACGTTCCGCCACCCGCTGGAAGCGGATGCAGAAAAAGACTCTCTGATAATGTATTTGCCTGCACCAAACAAGAAACTTGATTGCAAACCGAGCTGCCCGCTAAATCCGCGTTTCAGATCGATCCAATAGAGTTCATCCGCATCCCGTGCCTAGCTCAAAATCATCCTTTTTATCCAATACCTGGATGTTCGAAACTTCAACTACGTGCCTCACGTGAATGCTACAAGGCGGGTGTATCTGAGCATTTGCATACATCCAATTGAGGGTTCCCTGATGACGTGAGACATCCCCTATTATTCATGGAAAGTGTGGCACTTTGAAATTCAAACGTTATTCCTTTAATAATTCATTTTCTCTTACTGCTAATTACAAATTAGACCTGAGTTATTGATGTCTGTTGAAATGTTGTTACCAGCGAAGCGGATCCGGCGGGACGCGGGTGTGGTCTAGTACTTCAATATTTAATGCATGACGAAGTGGAGAACGTAAACCTTATAGTTTCCTATATCGATCTTGGGTGTCGCAAAATGCGCTCCTAGCGCTTTCCCTTCCTTTAACTTCTTTGGGGGGGGGGGGGACATTTAAAATTGTTTTTATATTTACGTAATTTTAAAATTTTTTGTTAGTTATTCATCGTTTTTAAACATATTTTCGATGAAGACTTGATCGAAAGAATATTACTTGCCACAAACAGTAGTGGTCCAGCAATGGAACTACCCCAAAGCACTGTAATGCAGGTTGCCGAGAGGGAAGAGTTGGATGGCATGAGAGTAGGAAAAGAAGGCAGGGGACGGTCGTAAATCTAACCAGGGCCTCCTGATCGCCGGTCAGATTTGCTACCACTGCATCACCGAATCCAGGAATCATTCGTTCCTCCCAACGCCATCCCAGACACTACAATACCCTGATGAAGTACCTGGGAGTGAAAATTTTGGATGGAAACATAGCCATCGACCTTCCCCTGTATGAAAGAGGAGGCCATGCATAGTTTGCTTGTACTGGCTCCTGCGGGGTCCGAATGCATAAAGGAACAGACAGACAAACTTTAATATTTATAAAGTTAGAGAAGAAATCATGCATGTTTTCATTTCGAGTCTGGTGCTACATCAGTAACTGAGAAACTGCCATGGTATAGGAATGAGCGCCGTCTCTTAGCATTGTTTCCATCTCATCAGGGTAGTCTTGGAATTTAAGGCTTCTTTGAGGTTGTTGAAAATTATTATTTTTAGATCTTTACCTAAAACAGGGACATTAGTCGGCACCTTCCCATTACATTGCGAATCCGTCTAAAAAAAATTGTTTTCCGGTTTTCCTATATGAGGCGACTCAGGGACTTAGGAGAAACTACATACATAAAGGTATAGCCATTGGAAAATATATAGTTTTTCAGTTGCAAAACTTTTGGAATAACCCTTGCATTCCTCATCATATCGTCGGTGTGAAGGCATATCTAACTCAAGATCATATCCTTTGTGATGAGGTACATTCATCAAATAAGTTCAACGAGAGTTCAATAATAATAAAATATCAAATTAAAGTACAGACGATAAACCGCAGCACCCTCAGAGACTTCGAGTGAAGTTTCAATAGTTCCAGTTTAAGTGCAGCAGGTTTGAACTCCTCAACTCAAGGCAAAGCATCCTATGGATAGGCTGACTTTCTGAATATATATATATTTTTAATGTACTTTAAAAACAAATATTTATCCATATGATATTAGGAAATGCGCAACTATGGTACTCCTCCAACGGATGATAGTTGAATCAACATTATTGCAAATTACGTGAATTCAGGGCATAATTTCCAGGATTTATTTATTATTTTTGTTAGGTGCGTGAGGTTAACGAGAAACACTTTCGAGGTCTCCTAGAGTTTTATATTTATTATCTTTCACTGCTGATTTTTCATTTTTTTTTGGAGAGAGTGCCTATTCTTGGACTTCTAAATACATTTTGAAACAGGCCGGAGACTCAGATCATGGCGAAGTAATACAAAAAAAGATTCTAGGAGTGTTGAAGTGGAAGTATTGGGTATGATTCCCTTTTGTGCGCATTCCCAAGAAAACAACCAAACTAATTGCTTGTCGATTGCCTTCCTGTATGGCCCGGCTCTTTTGCCGACTATAATCTCAGCAATCTGTCTTCGACGCACTTCCGTATCGAATGATTCAGGTTAAAAACCAATTTCCTTGCTTACATCTTTCATGGGTGGCAATTATCTCATTACACTTAAGTCTGTTGTCAACATTCAGCATCGATGCACTTCGTATTTGGCGTCAACCCTTACAAAAAATGCACACATGTGGACTACCCTAAGTGCACCGGAGGATTTGGAAGAATCCACATGTGGATTAAGAGGATCCACATAGAGTCCACACGGGGATATTCTAATGTCCACATTAATCCCCCTGCGGACTTGTCCACATCAGTCCATGACAGTCCACATTAAGTCCACTCTATTCCACATGGCTACCTGTCAGTCCACATGCGGATCCCCCGGAGGATTTGGATAATCCCCCAGTGGACTATAGGGGGACATTTCGTAAGGGACCCTGCGCAGTTATTCGATATCTCTCCAATGGTAACCATCGAGCAACTCCCAGGTGATTCTAATACAGGTATATAATCTTATCTTTTGATCCCGTGAAATAATGGCACCGGCGTTAGAACCCAGTGGAAGGCGTATGGTGGCATTTAAAATTATTGTGGAAGGTCAAGCCTTCTACCTGTATTCGCCATTGCACCTATCCGTACCCGCGTACACTATTTCATTACTTTTAGATCCCGGCACCAACAACGACAAAGGAGGGCATAAGAAAAGAATAGGGAAAGGCATAAGAATGCACGTTTCCATATTTAGCATTTCACTAAACTTCGAGGACCAGATACTCTTTTTTTAAATATCAGAGAAGCCAGTAAAAGCCAGGTGAAGTCTCTTACCACGGAATTTAATGCAGCGTGCATTAAATACAAACCACTGAAATGAAGAAAAACCCTATAACACTGGAATCACACAGTATTTGATACAAT